AGCCCAAGCACATTCAATGTGACTACTAACTTGTTTATGAAATCCAAATTGGCTAATTAAGACAACGAAAGCCCATTAAAGAAGCACAAATAAATTTCGTTGGGGCAAATGGCTGACCATGAAAACTTACGCTGAGTATTCCCATTCTATAAATAATGATAGACAGGGTAATCGAAATTGCTGTAAGATGAAACGATGTGAAATGCGCAAAGCGAATTTACCTGATGCTGGATATAAAATTGTTTTTCCCATTGCCACAATTGGACATCCAATTCGGAATGAGTGCAAATAATACATGGAACTTTTTATACTGACTGAGGCTTCGTTTTTATTTAATTTTACATATACTTTTGTTGCTGTCATATGTATATATATAATCTCATAAATTAGTTTGTTGTGTATATATAGAGATTTGGTTGGTAATACATTTGTTTCTTATGCGGCAAACGCATATAATTAAATTTCAATAATAATAATGGTATCGTTTTTTTTGTTTCGTTCGGTTTCTATTTGTTTTAGGGCATTTTTTTTGCTTGAACTCGAATCCGGTTTTTGGTTCACCAGCTGGAGATATTTATCTGCTATGTACCTATATATGTATTTAGACTCGTAGGCAAACTGAAGTAGGTTCCATTTATAACCATAACCACACAGATGTACATACACGTATACACATCTATATAGCCGGTAGTTCTTGCCGGAGTCGCTGTTGTGATTCTCCGTGGGGGCAGCACCCGCATCTATATATATTCCACACCCGACTCGCTTTCATTTACATTATACATTTATAACCATAATAATTTACAAGTTAAATGGCTTAGAAATTATTAGTAGGACTTCCTGTGTGGGCTACCATACTCGTACGTACATAATACATAAAACACTTTCTAATTAAAGTTAAAAACGTCTTTCTTTGTCGCCTCATCCTTCATCCTTTATCCTTCACCATCCTACATCCTACATCCTACATCCGCGTCCTGTTCCGTACGTTCGGTTCAATTCGGTTCGGTTCTGCTCTGTTCTGTTCTCATCTGTGATGTCCTGTTCGTCCTGGTTGCTTCTGTTTGTGTTCGGTTTTGGTCTATTTACATAGTGACAATTTCTAAATTACTTAGACTTCGCTATAGCAATCCTCTTTGTTCTGTATTTACATTGCATATCGATTGAAAAAAATGTTTCGCAGACTTTTCTTGACTTTTGGTTTAAGTTAACATAAGAACGTTACAGGAAAACCCCTCTCCAGGCGGTTAGTTATATTTTATTCAACGTTTATCAACTAATTTAGGTAAAATACGTTTACATTTAGTTTAATTTAGTTTCAACTGGGCTGTTCACTGTGCATTTAAAAATAGTGCAAAAATACATTTTACAAAAATTGGTGCATACTTTGAGGCGGTGCTATATAATCACAACATTTACAATTTAAGTGCATTTGCTTGTCAGTGTGTGCGTGTGTGCAGGTGTGCAGGTGCGCCTGTGTGTGTGTCTGAGTGCATTGGATGGGGGCGTGGTCGGGGCGGGGTTCGGGGGTCGGGGGTCGGGTGTCGAGAGGCGAGTGTGCTGTTAGTTTAGACCTAATATAAACGTTAGAGTCGAACTCTTCGGCCTGCTTGAGTGTTTTGTGGAGATTCCGCTCAAAAGTGTCAATTGAGGACGGATTGCTTTTAAGCCTTGATTGTGTGCATGTATTAGGGAATGTATGTCGTTGTGGTGGAGCGGGCATGGCCCTCGGAAGTCCCAACTCCCCGAAGCCTCCACGTACTCCACATACATTACATCTCGATTTGCATTAAGGTACTTGTGACTACTTATGTTTATAGCTCGAAAATACTCTTTTGATTCCATTTAAACTGGCCATTCCTGATGTCTGGGATTGGGACCTGTGCTCCCTGTGCGTCCAAAAGCTAAACCAGGGTGAACTGATGTCTGAAATTGGGGATTTTGGTGCCATGGAAGACTGATCTGCTGGCCCAACCAATTCGGGGATCGCTCCTCGATCCGTTCCGAAGTAGTTGGATGGATTTTGGTTTTCTCACTGCTCGGAGTATCTTTTTGTGCTGATTCGTGCGATTTCTACAAACAGCGATGCACACAAAATATAATCACTAATTAATCAGGCTCTAATGCGAATTCAGGTGTCCTCGTTTATCGCTTAATAATTTGTAGGTAAGTGCAATTGTGGTGCATTTCAATACATATAATTTATGATTTTCGTTTTCGTTTTGATTTGGTATAATTATTTATCACATAAAACGTGCAACAGTGCAAAATTGTTAATGCTAATTGTTTGTCATAATTTGTCCCGCTAATTGTTTCAATTGAACATAATTTATTAGGGCTGGCGAGTGTTCGTGTGTGTGAGGTGGTGTTGTTGTTGTTTTATAATTTTGTAATTGTAATGAATTGCATGAATACGTAATGGGTTCAATTAAGGTTGAAATTATAATGTGGGCTTGGCTGAAAGTAATTGCAAACATGTTAGCTGGGCTGGGCCTTACGTAAGTGCTTGATAGCTGAAATATTTAAGGAAAAAGTGATCCCAAAAACTGCAAAACTACAATATACCTAAAATTACTGAATCCCTGGAATATGTCCATTCAACAATAGAGTTTTCTTTTCTTGAAATTGCAAAAACCCTGTGTAGCTCTTCACTGTTTTCCGGTCAAATTGTCCCAGCCAACAATTTATTTTCAGCAATTTGCACGCAAGACCTTTCAACATACTCGTACTCAAATATCTGTGATGTTAGAAAGTTTTCTTAGTTTTCCTTTATGTTCTTAGTGGTCTGCGTTAAATGTTCACTTGTGAGTGGATTTAAAGTGGCGTTGAATTGCACCAGTGGCTCTGGTTGTTTGCTACATTGAATTGCGGCTTTTTGTGGCAAGGTCATAAAAAGCTGACCCGAATCAATGACTACAACACCTGATGCCCATTGAAGGTCACTTTAGGTCCAAGTCTATTTTTTCGTCTTAATAATGCTCGTTGTTTTGGGCTTGCATGCAGCCTCCAATGCCTCGATAAATTGCCTTTGGCCACACTCCTTGAATTCAAACTTTTCAAACGTGGCTTTCAAGTATAATCCTAGATCGTACTAAACACGGATATACATCAAATACTTGTACATATAGTTTACGTGTTGAATAGTATTTTTGGGCGATGGATGACACTTTTGTGCTCAGCAAAAGCAGTTAAATTATATAATTACCTCTTGCGGATATACACCTAACACAACTAACACTTATACGTTTTTACGTGGATATTAATCATTTAAATATATGTCTAATTTTCCGTTTTCAGACCGCTAATCAGCTGCGTCAATTTCAATTTCAAAATCTCCAATCGTATTTCATCAAACATTAAACATTTACTTTCATAAAAGTTGGCTTTTGTGCTCTGACTTGTTGTCGTGTACTTTACGTGGGCAATAATTTAAGGGTAAAACTAGTTTCTAGACCTTGTTGAAAAGTTTGTCTGACCGCCAAGTGAAGAGCTCCATGTGGCCAAAAGACTACGGAAGCTAAGGTCGCCCGTCGGGACTTACCAACAAGGATTCGCGGATCCTGGGATTATCTCAAAGTTTGCGGCTTCAGGTGTTCTTCAGCGGGAATATAAAAGCCCTTGGCAGGATGTTATTAGTTTGCTCAACAACTATGAGCAGAATTGCAAACTCAAAAGGGTAAATATGTGCACTATGTTTCAGATCCATGAGAGAGTTATAATTTGGTATTTGATTTACTGCGCGTGTAGTTAACTTACTTGTTGTTCTTGTGGTGAGTGTTGTCAGGTGTTGTTGTTGTTCTTTTTGTGAAGAGAAAAATATACATATATGTATAGTAGTGAAGTATTCTGTAAACTTGTGAAGAGTCGAAGTAAAAATCAGAAAATGCATGTTTGGTTTTCGTTTTCAGTGTATATTAAGTTGTGTATTTGTTTTCATTGTTTCCTTGTTTTTTTGTGTAATTTCTTGTTTTTTTCCGCTTTATCATATATTCGTATAATATATAATTAATTATTATAAGTAGTTAAGAAAACTTTGGTTAAATTAAAAGGGGAATTATGCTAAAACTAGACCTCCTACACAATCGAAATTAGTGTGAGAAAGACAGAGACAGAGAGACAGAGATTCGGCGAGATAAAAAAGAGTAAGGCAAAATTATGTACAGCAAATACTAATTAATTATTAATTAATTAATAAGACTTGGGTTAGACGAAATCAATAGAATGGATAGACCGTGTTTTCATTCGATAATTTGTGCGAATGGCATGCGCCATTTGCTACTCATAGTTAATTATATGCTCCATCTTTCTCTTTGATGTTTTTTTACGATTTTTCTACGATTTCTCGCTCGTCTGCAAATATACAAATACAAATAAATACAAGTTTGGGGGCTGACTATATATCCTTAAGTGTACGTTTATACTTGTGTGTATGTGTGTGTGTGTGTGTTTGTGTATGTACCTATGGTTGCTTGTGTATATGTGTATGTATCTTTTAACATTCAACAATTGTTTTTATTCAGCTTCATATTCTGTATTTGCTCGCTAAGTTGACTCCTCCTACTTTATGGTACTCCAAAAATAATTGTTAAACTAAATACTCTACAATTATAAAACATCTAAAAAAGGAAATACAAAACGCTTCACTAATTTAGACGTAATATGTTTATTTACAAATCGTTTTTATACACAATACTGTTTGCTGTGAGTGCGTGCAAGACGCAAAGGCTTAATTAGGAAATCAAAACGTTTAAATAGGCTGAAAAGAGGGAATTAAAAACCGAAAATAATTGAATTATTATTAAACGATCTTCGTTAGTACTTCGTTCAATTGGAATATAAAATCATTGGGTGAAATTGCGCTTTCGCTTTTGTTATTTACAGTCGAACTTATGTACTTTCATTTGGGCTTGTCCTTATGGAAGTTGTCGTTTCTCGTTTAAAATTTCGTTCTTGTTTTTGTTAGGATTATAGAAAAATAGGCCAAAAATATATGTATTTGTGTGTCTGTGTGTGTGTGTTTTCTATACCTTTACCGCAATTGTCGTTCGTTCAAAAAATGTGATTAAAACTTTTGTTCGTCTTTGATTTGTTTTTATGTTTTTTTTTTGTTTGGGGGTTTTGTCCTCTGGTTTTCAGTTGTCGTTCTTCATGGGATTTGTGCATAATTTCAAGGATTACCATTAATTGCATATACATACATTATTCGTACTCGTTATCATTTACTGGTAGTTATCATTTACTTAGAGTTATACACACGTTACACTGCGCATAGGATTTCCGTATGGTATAGAAATTGCTATTATTAATTTACTTTCATTTATATTTAAAGGTGGGTTATTTTGCAGTTATTTATGTAATCGTTTACTGAATCAATAATCAATTAAAAGAAAACACCTAGGTTGTCTCCTATTTATACTTTTCGGTTAATAACGAAGATCGTTGATATAGGAGGGCAGGAGATTGGGATTCGATGTGAAATAAAAACTTACTCGTAAACGTATTCTCAATTAGATTTATATAATTTGTTTGCGATTTTTATACGTACTGTATATAAGATATGAAATTTTATTGCTCGCAATTTCATATGTTATTCCGTTGTAAATAATTCAACATTGTTAGGATTTCACACGAATTGATTTAGTAACATGCAAATACGTGCAAAAAATAAATGACACCAATTATCGATTGATTATGTCCACAAAGTCAATCGCGATTAAAACGTTTGCTTGCTGTTTAAATATTTCAAATTGAATGAAGTGCGGAAATTAATGGGGAAATTCAGTGGAACATGCGGAAAATGCAGTATGAGAAAATCGCTCTAGAGGTTATTCATTATTATTGTTAATTCGCCATTGGTATTAACTTGCGCTTATTTTGCCGTTGTCATTTGTTTGCGTACACAACCGTTTAAAAATTTTAATTTGTAAATTTCGGCTTAAAAATTTGCTTGATTGTATTTCATAATTGATTGATTGTGTTGAAAACGCGCCGCTTAACAGGCATAATAATAGCGAATAATTTTCATGGACCAGAACATTATTATTATTTTTATTGGTTGTGTTTCAAGGTTGAGTTTCAGCGTTTCCAATCGAGAGAACAGCGCGAATTAAAAATAATGCAAAAGTCGATTAGGAATAAACACTTGTGGCTTCGAAAAAAGGTCGAGAATGTATTAGTGTTAGTTAGCATTTGTACAAGCTTTTCGTTTCGCTTATAAGCTTATCGTTTTATATATATATATTTATAAGTCCATTGTTATTTAAACATAGTTCAATTATGTAAATAAATTTACTTAACTACAGATAGCTGCCATTTCCGTGAGAACTGTTGTCACTCATGAACGAAATCAAAATCTAGTGTGGAGGGGGGGAGATCCTTACAGGCAAACGAAAAGTATAATTGAAAGTATTATTTACAAACATGAAGGACAAAGAATCGGAGCAAATCATCTATAATGGCAAACGTATTCTTAACAACGAGAGAACTTTAAACCAAAAGTATCTGAGTACTATAGAAACTTAATTGGGTTTTCAATGAAGTCAAGTCTTTTTCTTTATGTAAATGTTTGCTTCATTCTCATAAGTTGTAAATGTTTGTTTTTTGTCGCTAATCTTGCTGTTATTGCATTGTATATAAGTATATTATATTGCACTCATTAGCTTGTTCAGTTATCAGCAATAAAACCTAATGCAATATTTTCTTCAATTGTATAATTGTTTGTTATTGGTATATGTATACTATTAATATATATTTAATGTCGGTTTTTTCTGTGTATATGTATATATAATTCATTCGTCTTCTGCTTGCTGCCTCATCATTATTTTTATCGCTTTCTTTTGCTTGCTTCGTTTTGATTTCATTTCATTTGTTTATTTAACATTAACATTATTTAACTTTAATACACGTATAATTAAATAATGTACACGAAATATATTTCATATAGTAAGATATATTTATAATATATTTATTTAATATATACTAAAAATAGTTAGGCCCAATTTTGTTTTTTCCTCATTATGTTTTCTGTTCCTGCGAAACAAATTTAAAAATGAAAAAAACATCGTCTTTTTTTTGTTCTTTTGCTGAATTGTAATTTAGCTTTAGTATGTATAACTGCTTCCTCTGCTTGGGCTTTTCATTAAGTTAATTTTTAATCATAATAGTGTAATAATAATCATACCTTTCGTCAAGCACATTCTCTGCCTCATTTCGGTTTAATCATAGCTTTCGCTTTTCTTACTTGGCAATTGTCCATTTAGCCCAGTGCGAGCTGCATTTTTATGTGGCTGGGGGTTTCTTTTCGCGGTTCCTCCGGGAAATCTTTCTCATGTCAAAGGATAGGCGGGTGGTTGGCTTGTCTGTGTGTCTGGTTCCTGCATAATGTTTAACTTAACGGGGTCTTGTTTGCTTGGGGCGACATGTTAAAACTAATTGTTTGTCAATGTGAGTTCTCTAGGTGTACTTTCTCTGCGTGTATGTGTGTTTGTGTGTGTGTCGTGGGTATTAGAGGGTGTGTGTGTGTGTGTGTGTGATTGGTGGGTGGGTGGCGCTTAACGCCCTCGCGCCCAGCGTAGTAACGCATCCGCTAGCACATCCAGATGGGCCTTCGTCTGCAAAGATGGAAGAACAAGAATGGCATTTGAATGATGACATCAAGTATACGCCGTGGTGTGCGTGGAACTCACCGTCTTGTAGAACATGCAGGATCTTCGGTCCTCGTCCTCGCCGTCGGGACAGTCGATGAAGCCATCGCACAGCACATGATCGTCTATGCAGCGGTATCTGCCCTGCCGGTCGGGTATGGGGCAGGCGAATCGCTCCATGCCATCCATGGCGGTAGGACACTCTGCAAGAGGAACGCAAACAAAAACGGGTGACAGTCAGTCAAAATGGCTTTCTCTTGGCCAGCGGCAGGAGTAGATAGATGTGCAGGTAAAAGCAGGTAAGAAGCCCCGAACTTTTCCCATAAATCGTTCAGTGAAAAACTTCTGCGCACGCTAATGTCTGCCATGATTTGCGTCTAAGCGTTGCAACTGCCAGCCGGCGCATAGAAGTATGCTATGGATATTTCACCACCTCCCGCCCCATACTGCACTCCTTTGTTTGTGTGTGTGTGTGTGTGGCTATGTGTATGTGGCGGCCGCTTAGCAGGTTTTTGTTGTTATAAATAGTTTCACGTTCGCTACTTTAGTACTTTCTGCGGCTAAAAGGAGGGAAAATGGGGAAACTGGCTGGGGAAAATCCAGGCTTGGCTGGCTTCGCCTGCACCGACGCCGCCGCCACCGCCGTCTAACAGAAAAAACAAACTGAAATACAAACTTTACTTTTTGTGGCATTTCACTTTGTGCTTGCCTTTCCTCCATATCTTTTTTCCTTTGCACTGCCTTCCACCAACAAATACATAAAAATAAATCACTTGTAGGACATGTTGGCGCCTCCGGTTTAGTTTTCCCTGCCACATGCGCTTGTATGCGTGTGTGTGCTTGTGTGTGTGCGCCAGTTGCATGTTTGTGTATTGGTATCCCCTGTTCAAGCTGTCCGTATAGGTTTTCCCACCACCCACTTTTCCACTCCTGTCCCCGCTCATTCCCAATTGCCATTTCCGCCATTCAACTTGCTCTTGCAAAACTTTCCTCTGCTATTTTTGGCTGCATCCAAAAATATTCTGCTCTACGGCGTTCTGGTTTTTGCCACGCGACCAGCTTTGCCACTTAATAATTCTGTATTTTATTTGTCTTATTGCGGAAATGAAAATCACTTGGCAAGCCCCGGGCTATTTAATCAAAAGGTGTTTCGAGCTTTGCACAGCTGCACTCATAATTTCATTCATATTTTTTTCCGCCAGCAGTGACGTTTTTAATATGTCTGATTGCTTTCCATTTTTCAATTCTTACTAATTAATACTTTTTATAATAAATGTTTCTATTAAAAGACATATTTAAACTTTTTTGCAAACATTTGCCTGTGTGTATTATTCGTTTTATGTGGGCAATCGAGATTACGAATCAGAGTTATATGGTGCTAACAGTTTGCAAAGTAAAAAATGTTTACTCTGAACCGCTTTTTATTTCCAACGTATTGTATTCAAGTACTTCCGTTTTTTCCAGTCATTCAATGAGTTTTTATCACCAACTGCTGTGAACTGACATTAAATTAATTTTATTTCTCTTGCTCACGCGCCAGTCGTGCCAAGTGCATTCCATTCATTAAGTTGATCTGTCTGCCCTTCATCGCCGCCTCCATTCGGTTGCATTTCAGGTGTGTGCGATTCGTGCAATTGCAAAATCACCTGACAAAGCATAAATATGTGCAGCAGCAGCAGCAGTGGCAGTGGCAGAAACCCGACACTCAAATGTTTGTGTCTCCCCATTGGATTCCCGGGATTCCGCACCCTGCCACAGAATATTCTTCGGCTGTCAGCGGGAAATCAATTGATGACGGTGTGCCTCATGCTCCCCCTAAAAACACGCTTCGTTAGGCACCTGGCTTTTGCAACCTGCCTTCAATGGATTCGACGACTCCAATTGCGTGGCGTGCCAAAGAGCCATTTGCATTTTGAAGAGCGCCCACATCTTCTGCGGCACGTTGGCTACGATTATGATGATGAAGATGACGGCGATGATTCAGTTAATGGTGAATGGTAAATGTGGAACCACGATGACAATGTCGCACAGCCGGGGGCGCTTCTCACGATTGCCATTTATCAACTTCGTTGGACGCCGCATAATTGCATCAAAGGACACTTGGGCACGTTATAACATTCCACCGGCGGGAGGAGAGGGGATTGTTGCAGGGATTCGGCCAAAAAAGGACGCAGCTTTATGCAGATTTCTGCATACATTACGCATACGCAATGTGGCCGCGGTACCAAGAATTCCATTAGTTTTATTGCCAGAAACGACCAGTTGTTGTGCTGTTCTGTGTGTTTCTGCAACCCACATTTTGTACTTTGAACTTAATTTCACACACAAATAACTTGCAAATTGTAGCAACGTTGTAAAGTTCGAGGGAAATTTCGGTCGCATTTGCTGGCTGACTATGTTTTCTTTTATTTTTTTTTTTTGGGCCAAGTCAGCGAAGTTTTCCCCTTGCACCACCCACTGACCACCCAAACCACTCGCCCACTCAGTCGGATAGCTAGCTGCTGAGGCTATTGAACTTTAAATTGATTTTTGCGCTTGTTTGCTAGTTTTGCTCGTCTCCTTTCTTCGGGCGGGTGGCTCAAATTGCAACTAACCGGTGGGTGGAAGTGAGCTCGAAGTGGGAGTGAGATTGGGAGTGGGAGTGGGGGTGGTTTGGTTATAGTTCTGGTTCTGGTTCTTCTTGCATTTCTGGTGGTGCTTCAACTACGGTGCTTCCATTTCTGCCCCTGGTGGCGCTTATCGTTGTTGCAATAAATCGAAATAAGTTCTGCTTGGAACAGGGTGAATGGCCTACTTTCTGTTGGACGGGCCAAATTAAACTGATTTATATACTTGCATGTATTACTGAACGATAAGCAATCAAACCTAACTGTGTCACCTATAATATTCGTGCAGAAATAACTTTGCTGTGCAATTCATCATTGAAATTATCGCCTAACTATAATAGTTTTAGATAAACTGGTAATGTCGCGAAAGAAATTTATATTTAAGCGCCCAAGCAATGCCAATTAAATATTTATTTAATATTCATCCATACGATACCTGCTAGTCAAGAGAAATTCGGAAAACCAGAGTTTTAAAACGAGTTTCTTACCTCTTTAACTTTGATTGTGCATAACTGCATTAAGGACACTAAAAACTACACACATTCTATTCTAAGAAATCGCCGCAAAGCACTCTATTTCCATGCCAGACGATAACAGGATAAAAAGATCTACTTGCACAGCTTTCTGCGACTGCAAAACAACACATCAGAGGCGATATAATCACATGTCAACAATATCCACTCGGAATACGCGATGGAAATTGTGAAACTTCTTATGACGTTCGAGTGCATCTCTGTATGCAAATCACCACCACCCGAGGCGACTGTACCCAAAGTTTAGAAGCTGAGCTTAGGAGAATCAACGCATGTTGACACTAAGACACCCGGCAACAGTAACAACAACAATGATGGCTAACAAGCCACAAGAACAACAACCCGTGGGGTGTCAAAAAATCAAAAGCATAAAAAGGATTTGGCTGTTGCCAAGCCAAGGAGCTATGGCTGAAGCAATGGCGATGGCCATATACTCGCAGTTGGGGGATGGATGGGTGTTTTTTGGCCAAAAAGTGCCAACCGATGCTATTTTCGTCGCACGACAGACGTATACGTGGCGTATACGTAATGCAGGAGCAGTGAGCTTCGCGAGGAGTTCGTGGCGAAAAATAAGTCGCAGAAATTTGTAACAAAGTTCGCGTAGTGAGAAAACCTTTTGCTCCCACACACACATATATATACAGATGCACGAAGGATGTGGCGATGGCGATGAAAGAGAAAGAGAAAGAGGAGGAGGAGGAGAGCTGCAAACGCCTGTTGTCTCGTCAGTACGGCGCCTAAAAGGCTGCCAACAATAATAACAAAACCCACGAAAAGAGACCAAGCTGCACACAGATGCACTCTATACATACACATGTATGTGTGTGTGCGAGAGTAAGTGTGTGTGTGTGTGTGTGAGGGCGTCAGTGTGCAGGAAGCGCCAGCCAAAGGAAGCAGCGCGCAACGGTTTTGCAGCAATAAATTGATAGTTTTATGTGGCGCACATAAACAGGAGCAGGCGGCAAAGGACGGTGGGTTGCAAGTCCTGGGACATTAAAGTCGCGTCCTTACGCCCACACACAAAGGCAAAGGGATCATCTTCCGCCTTCTTCCGCCTTCTTCCGCCTTCTTCCGGCTCCTCCTGCAGATTACGGCCGTAAATAGCAAAGGGCATTGCATAAAACAAAAGGCTGAGCAAATTTATAAATGACAACTACAAAATTGATGGGCATTTCCTTTTTGCGACAACCCCTCCATTGATTCTATGCCATCCCGGGATCCTGCCAATTTGTCGTGTTTGCAAATTTCACTTTTTGGCTTTTTGGGCCCAGCTTAGGCACAGCAGCATGGCTTCTCGGACACATTTTCCTTCATCAAACATGAATTCACCGTTTGTCAAGTTTCAGCACGAACAACCGGACAGCAGCAGCAAATTGAGGTGTTCCCCGAATAAAATAAGTAGCTGCTGTCATAATTTGTTTGCCTTTCTCCGTTTTGATTAAATTTGCTTCTCAAATGTATGCGCCAGGCGAAAATCTTTCGTTTCGCTGTCTATTATTTTAGGACTTCTGCTGCCGGGGATCGGCTTTCCTTTTAGCTTTCTTGGCCGATTTTCGGGTAGCAGATCCCAGCATCTAGTGCTTGATTCGCCCCGCTTCAATTAATTTAACATATTCCTTCTTTTTGTTTTTCTACCAGCACACCCACGTACGTGCATAGCACATACGTACAACAAATGGCCGCAGGTTAGCATTTCTCCATTTTGTTTTCCTTTTTGCCGCTTTGTTTTGCTTTGTAGGGCGTAAAGAAAAAAGCAGTACAGAAAGCATGAACGCAAACAGCCGCCAGGTGGCGCGTTGGTGGTAGCGCTGTGCGTGTGTGTGTATGTGGGCCCTCGAGGTACATTTTGTTTTCGGATCGCATCAATTGTAATTTAATAAGCCCGTTTCAACGTTCCACGCTCACTTTTCCCACATCCATTTCCACGCTGCCTGCAAGCTAGTTGTCCGTTCCGCCTTCTGCATGTAGGCGAAAAGCATTTTCCCGTCACTTCATATTCATAGCTGATAAATCATACACCCGACGAACACAAAGGCACGCCCACTGGCAGGCCCGGCTGACGAC